AGTAAGATATGTTGTATATCTTGTCTCTCACTTCTCTGTACGAAATATGGTGATATATATCCATATCTACCGTCTCAGGCAGTTGCAACACGTTTGAGAATAACCGCGGCAGTTTTTGGAAAATTGCTCGAAACTGCCCAACCGTTCTAGACCTCGGTCTAGAACCACAGAGCTTGTCTACTGAAAGTTATACATTGAGTTCTACCTCGAGTTCTACTGACGTAGACAATTTGGAAGTAAACTAGTTCTTATATACAAGTGTGCACTTCACACCTACTAACTTGTATTAGATCATATTTCTAAGAGAAAACTGTCAAATAAGCTCCCTACCATTTCAAATAAGTCAATTAAACTCCTCAACTAAAAAACATCCAATTAAACCGATGAACCCATATAAAAGTCTCAAAATGTCTTTTTAACCTGTAACTTTCCTTCCTTGTCCAAAAAAACCTGTAACTTTCCGGTTGTCCGGTAAAATGTACTACGTGGTTGAATTTGAATTTTCATTTTTCTTTGTTGTTTATTGTCTCCTTTTCTTTCCCCCTTCTCCATCTCTCTTTCTGTCTCTTTCTTCTTCGTTTTTTCTCTTTCGCCGTTCAGTAACTGTTTTCCATCTTTATTATTATTTCATTTTTCTTTTGTGTTCTCTTTTTCTTTTCTCCCTCAATCTGCTCCTTAAAAGATCTGCCAGTCTATGGAGGCTTGGATGTCAGAGGTTGCTTGAGTGAATGATCTAGAGTAAAGAGACTGCGGAGGCGGTCAGTCTGGAGGTCCGAACGGCGGAAATGGAAACCTGGCTCATAGGTGGGTGGCTATGAGTGTTGGGGCGATTGGAGATCGTCGCTCCAATGGAGGGGCAGAGACAGAGGCTATGGATTCCGGGGCAGTTGGAGGTTGCTCCAATGGAGGAGGCGAAGGTTAAGGCTACACCGGTGGTCGAAAGCGGTGTGAATGGAGGTAGTGCGGCGGAGGTGAGGCCGCACACGGAGGTGGCGGCAATGGAGGCCGGGGCACCGTTCTGATGGAGGAGATGGAGAGGAGTAATCTGAAGTTGTGGTCGGAGGCTGTTCCAGTGGGAGTGGGTGTCGGTGGAAGATAAGGCTATTGGCTAACCGGAAAGAGAAAGGAAAAGAAAAACAAAAATAAAAGCAAACTCAGAGAAAAAAAATCCACATCATATGACACCTGAGCAACTTACTTGAAACCGGAAAGCTACATACTAAAAAGCCATTTTGAGAATTTTATAAGGGTTTGTGGGTTTAATGGGATGTTTTTTTAGTTGAGGGGTTTAATTGACTTTTTTGAACTAGTATGGAGGCTTATTTGACCGTTTTCTCTAGTTCTAATCCCCATTAGCATTCATGTCATTTCCAATTACACAAAACAGCCGGTGACACTAAAATCACCAACAATCCTCCCTCGTTTTAGCGTAACCCATTAAATGACATAACAAAGTTTTCAAACTAAAACTTGCACATAAATGGAAATGTCGATACGATTGAATTGGCATCTTAGTATTTTCCACATTCCAAATATTCGAGAGTCGGGGTAATGGAAATGTCGATGCGATTGAATTGTCATCTTAGTATTTTCCACATTCCAAATATTCGAGAATCGGGGTGTCCTATGGATTGAACCCATCATCAACTCATTTCAATACAAGGTTGTTAAAATCGCGATTTAGAAAAAATCATTAAAAAAAACGTTTTTAATCGCTAAAATTGTCTCAAATCGCGATTGCAAACGATTTCCCCGATTTTTTAAATTTAACTTTAAAACTCGCCATACCCAACCGAATTTCTCAGCCGAATACATCTGGACGTTTAGGCAGGTCGAACGAAATACTCGCTGCCTGAGAAGAGATATCTAAGCTCAACGGTTATATAGGCAAGGGAGGATAGAAATGTCCTAAGCTCTTCCGATGGGAATAATGAAACTCCGTATAAGTCTCTATAAGATGAGTAAACAAGCTTTTTGTTTAAAACGTAAACCAGCAGTGCCGGATATCAAACCCACGCCCAACCCTACAGGCCTACACACAACCATATTGCTTAACCAAACCAAATAAACAATACGTAAATTAAAACTTTGTGTTCAAATTTAACTATTAAATTATTTATTCAATATTCTACAAAATAAACATACAAATATTTATATAAGTTCTGCCATTCATATACGATTCGTTGTGAATTTTGATTAAAACATACTCCGTAATTTTTATTTTTGTTGACTTTTCTTCTTTGATTATATGACATTAATTTGTTATTAATCATTTTGTTCATTTTTAATACTTATATTTAATTATTTTGTAAAATCTTACAATTTACGATTCGATTTTTAAATCCTTGTACCGATTCGATCAAAAAATACGATTTTAACAACCTTGACTATAATACAAACTTGACACAATTATAAAGTCGTGTGTCCTAATCCCATTCATGACCGTATAAAAGTCAAGTACCAAGCCTTTTGAAGCGCGGCTACACTTCACGATCATATAAGTAATTCCTTTACTCATGTACCTGCTTACATTTTATCAAAGGAATTATTAAGAAATAAATCCGGCCTCCCTACTACACCTTGGGATGATTTGCATTGTGTGTTCCAATCCATAAGTGTGAGCTTTTCGCATTGAATTCAGCCTCTAAGTTTGTATTTGATGTGAATTGGGTGTCTCACCATTAAGGATTAAATGGACTTTAAATCCATCGCTATCACGGACTTGTGCACTAAGTCCCGGCCCAAGCTTTTGGTCAAGTGGTCTGCCAAGTTATGTTGCGATCTTACAAACTCCACCAAAATTACGCCATTCATGATTAGTTCCCTAATCATACTATGTCTAACACCCAAGTGTCTAGACTTGTCATTATAAACATGACTATATGCCTTAGCCAAAGTGGCAGCACTATCACAATGGATAGAAATAGGTGCAATCGGCTTCCCCCACAATATAATGGAATCTCAAAAATTTAATTTCTTAACCACTCCGCCTCTTTATCGGCGGTAGCCAAAGCAACAAACTCAGATTCAATCGCTGAACTTGTGATACAAGTTTTCTTCTTGGATGCTCAAGAAATGGCACCCCCCCTAAGCAAGAATACTCAACCACTTGTAGAAGAATGATCCTCTACATTGGATATCCAACTTGCATCCGAATACCCTTCTAACACCGAAGGATACTCAAAATAACACAAACCATAATCCATGGTCCCCTTCAAATACTTGAAAACTCTCTTCATTGCTTGCCAATGTTGAGTACTAGGATTACTAGTAAACCGGCTCAACCTACCCACGACATAAGCAATATCCGGCCGAATGCTTGTCATGGCATACATCAAACTACCAATGGCTTGAGAGTACTCAAGTTGTGATATTGCATTTCCTTTATTAGGCATCAACCTCACACTAGGATCCATGGGAGTACCAACGGGTGAACATTCACTATAATTAAACCTTTTGAGAATATTCTCAACATAGTGAGCTTGTGTCAAAGCAATCCATTTGTTTAACCGTTTAATCCTTATACCAAGGATCACATCCACCTCCCCCATGTCCTTCATTGAAAACCTTGATGATAACAACCTTTTGGTTTCATCAACCTGATTTTGGTCCGTTCCAAAATTCAGCATGTCATCAACATAGAGACATATGATCACACCCGCCCCTAAGGCATCAAATCGGCTATAGGCACACTTTTCCGATTGGTTTAAACTAAAACTATTGGACAAAATAATTTCATCAAACTTTTGATGCCATTGATTGGGTGCTTGTTAAAGCCCATACAATGATTTAACAAGTTTACAAACCTTATGCTCATTTCCCGGCATAACAAAACCTTCTGGTTGTTTCATGTAAACTTCCTCATCAAGACCACCATTTAAAAATGCCGTCTTGACATCCATCTGATGTATAATCAGATTGTGTATAGCCGCCAAAGCAATTAATAACCTAATGGTTGTAATTCGAGCAACTGGCCCATACGTGTCAAAATAGTCAATTCCGGGTTTTTGTCTAAGACCTTGAATGACTAACCGAGCCTTGAACCTGCCAACAGTTCCATCCACTTTCATCTTCTTTTTGAAGATCCATTTGCAACCTAAGGGTTTAGAACCCGGTGGCAAATCCGACAACACCCAAGTGTTGTTCTTCATAATTGATGACATTTCATCATCAATTGCCTCTCTCTAAAATTCAACATCTCGAGACTCCACTGCCTCTTTAAAGGTTTTTGGATTATCCTCAACTTGGAAACAATATGGATATTGTACCCCTACTTCGTCCCTTGAACCTTCCACTAAGTACAAGTGAAAATCGGGACCAAAGTCTTTCATGATGCGGCCTCGTTTGCTTTTCCTAATTTATGATGCTTCAGGATTCAAAACACCATCCAAACATTCTGGAACTTGCACCTTAAATTACTAGTGCTTGTAACTAAATCTTTTGGTCTTTGAATTGATGAAAATCTCATTTCATCAAAAATCACATCCTGAAACTCAATCACGGTATTAACCGCTACTTCATTGTTAGGTTCTATTACATAAAACCTATAAGTCTTGGAATTTTCAGCATACCCTATGAATATGCAATCAATTCCCCTTTCCCCCAAAGTTTTCCTTTTGGGCTCGGGCAATTTTATAACCGCCCTACAACTCCAAACCCGAAAATATTTCAAATTTGGCGCTTTTTGTACCAAAGCTCATATGGGGTTGTCTTGTTCCGTTTGTTTGGAACCCTATTCAAAACATAGCAGGCCGTGAGCATTGCCTCTCCCCAAAAGGTTATCAAGAGTGATGAAGGGAAAGTAGAAGTAACGTTTAGGAGAATTAAATGAGAAATAATTGTAGTTTAACTCAATTCATTCATATAGACAATATTACTAGTTCGAATTATTTTTATATAACTCTCAGCAGGGATTATTATTATAGAATTGCTAAAAGTAGAAATTATTTTTGCGAATTTTGCCTATTTATTTAAGTGATAGTATAAACCATTGTACTCCGTATAAGGTTCTATTTGAACTTATTGGGATTAGGGTTCAATTTCGGACAATTGGACGCGACCTTGCTCTGGTTTTCGGACAACTGAGAGACTGCGGAACTGTAAAAAAACCATGGCGTCGGAGCCACGCATCGTTCTTCTAATGCTCGTCCTATTTGCTGCGGCCGCCGTCTTCTCCACCTTCTTAGCCAGCCCGGGAGCCCGCCCAGATTTTCGGACAGGTCGATTCACACCTATTTCGAACCCCAATGACTCCCAAATCGTGCTGGAGATGGGACGGTTCGCCGTAGACGCCCACAACAAAGAGGCTAACGCCACTCTGGAATTCCAATCAGTGATTGAAGCATGGCATCATGTCGTCGCCGGTTCGATTTTGAGGCTCGTGATCGTCGCCAAGGCCAGCGGCAGCGCCGCGGAGAAGTATGAGGCTGTCGTGTGGGATAGGCCATGGCTGCCACTCAGAAATCTCACCTCCTTCAAACCATACCCAATGATGTGAAGACGTTATGGTCAAGTACTTGGTCTTCTCTATACTAGCAACTATTGAAGTATTGAATATTGATCCTCCTATAGTCCTATTTTTTCCAACAAATATGAATGACATTTTTCAAATTTTCATCCAAAGAATTACTCTAGTTACGGATATGCTATTCTAGTAGGCTAGTAACTGTTATTGTTGTTCCTAGACAAATAGTTTTGGTAAGGTTAAGAAACTTTTTATTGAATAAGGTAATGATTTACTACTCTGTAGTAAGTTCTTGTACCTTTATCTGAATTATCAGAATTATCTTTTAAATGTAGTTTTGCAGGTGTATTAAGAAAGTAGTGTTTTTTTTTTGTGGGAGAGTTGTATACAAAGAAATACGATACTATGTTGTTTGTAGGGACTTGCTTGCAATTTTGTAACTACCAGCCTATTATTGGAGCACGACTCTTCATTTTGCTTGAAAAGCTAATTAGTCAAAATGAGCTACTAGCTTAACAAGAAAAATTATTAAATATAGTTACTATATTTCAATGTTGCTGCAAATGTTTATGTGGCTAGTCAAGTTACTATCGAGTTGGCTAGTCAAATATATGTGGCCCTTGATCGAGTTACTATCGAGTAACGAGTAAACTACCTGGTGGCTAACCATTGAAATATATTTCAATGTTGCTGCAAATGCTTATGTGGCTAGTCAAGTGATGAGTGCAATTAGCTAACCGCTGGAGATGCTTTAAAATATGCTTGTAATCACAAATTAAATTGAAATATAATTAAGGGACAGGGGAATACCATAATTACATAATCAAGTCATATTATAGTTTCAAAACTTATATATATTACTCAATCCGTCTAAAAAGTAAATAAATTCTCAATTTCACTAAATACATATTTATGCAAATTTGAATTTGTATAACCATATTTTATGTCAAAATCAAGTTATTACCTTCATCCCATATTAAACTCCTGACTTGACACGAGATTAAAGTAGTCCTAATTCATTACTGAATGTATGCATTATATGATTATATCGATATGATCAAGGTGGTCAACTGACCCCTGAAAGTTTGACAGTATATAGTTTTGGAATACCTTGATTTGATATGATATGGCTCTCATAACTCATTACGAGTAAAAAGTTATAACTTTTGGAAAATCAGGACTATCTATACTTAAAATGAGTAAAATTTGATGTGTGATATTGATTATATTCCCAAATTCAAAAAATAACGTATAATTCTCTCATCACGTATAATCACAGAGCAAGCATAACCTATCTTACAACTACAAATGTCTACTCAATAATCAATTTTTTCTAATAATAAATCTTGATATTAAGCCGGGTAAGAGAGAAAGACGCATGTTCTCATCCGAGGCAGCAATCGACGCATAATCTCTTTGACTAAACACGTATAAAAGAAGTTTATACTACGTAATATATATGACATGTGTATCATATCTATATGGCTGTTAATCTCATTTAAACTACTACCTCCTCCCCTAAGTTTGGGACAAGAGAAGGTGGCACGGTTATTAATAAAAGTGGGTTTATGTGGTTAATATTGAATTGATAAAGTAATAATAAAGTAAGAATGATTTAGAACCACACAAATTTTACCAAATAAGGTATGGGGCAATCTTAGTGGGACGGACCGAAAAGGTAAAATGAGACAATCATAGCGGGACGGAGGGAGTATTATTTATCTAAATTACATATGAAACATTCAACTCCGGTATTGTTTGAAAACGATTCACAGTTTTATTATGTATATAGTTGACTTTCAACCCCTGTGTCCTTTTTCTGGCTCCGCCACTGGATATGATCGCTTTTATTTTTTTTCTAGCTAGAACATATGGTCATTCAATATGCGGAAAATAATTTAAATTCCCCAAATTTTAATGTGTGTGAAATAAGTACCTTAAACTTGCATATTTCTTTTACAGAAATATGATCATTAGTTTTACCACACCCCATTTCATTATAAAAACTACTACTTCTGTTCTGCTTAAAGGTTCTCATTGTAAAATGTTACAGTGATTTAGACAATAAAATAAGATAATTTGAGTATATTTTGAGAAAAATTTAGATAGATGTGTAATATAATTGGGTCATTGATGATAACTATGATGTTACAAATGTATTATTTTTAGGCTAAAGGGTCAAATAGGTACATGAACTAACTTAAAGTGTTCAATTAGCCCCTTATATAGGAGGTTCTGCCCGGCCGTCGCATATTGGGGTGGTTCCCAGTGGAATTTTTTGATGAAATTTTTTGAGCATGTTCTTCATTAAGTCTAGTTTATCCATACCAAATTTCAGCTAAAAATTAAATCAGGAAGGCAGTCAAATGATTTTCTGAAATGTACTGCGCTGTTTAACTGCACGGTTATCTTCAAAAAATCATTTGACTGCCTTCCTGGTTGAATTTTTAGCTGAAATTTGGTATGGGTAAACTAGACTTAATGAAGAAAATGCTCAAAAAATTTCATCAAAATTCCACCGGGAACCGCCCCAATTGGCGACGACCGGGCAGAACCTCCTATATAAAAGGCTAATTGAACACTTTAAGTTAGTTCATGTACGATGTACCTATTTGACCCTTTAGCCTTATTTTTAATATTTGATGATTAAATTATCATTCAAGAGTATTGATTGCTTCTAAAATGAAAATGAGAACTATATACGATGTCGGAAAAAGTAAACTGAAAACTTTAAAATGGAATGGAGAGTACAATCTTGATCGGCCTAGTGTTTTCAAAACCGTAAACCCCCACGGTATATTCAAAAGAACTATTTTAAACGTCAATAAACCGTTTTTTATCCATTCAGACAAGTGTTGGTTATGTCATTTAGTTTAAAAAAGGCAACCACGACTCCTGTAATAAAATCAACCACAAGTAAATAGTTATACGCAACCACAATATCTTCATTTCACATTATTGCATTCAACATGGGATGCAAGTATGCAAGTATAGTGAACATCACACACTAAAATTAAGTCATTAGTTGATTGTGGCAAGTGAGTGGATCACATCTTACTTTTAAAATATTCCCCATGTGGTTGGTCTTCTATTCAAATTACTCAAATTATTAAAGAGGTGAATTTGGGAGGTTTATCTCGACCCTGAAGTCACTCAGGACTAATTTGAGTGAACATACAATCAATGTTTTATTTCGCCTCAAGTGAAACTATAGGAATTAGTTTCTGCTATGAACTGACTATATTTGATCATTGGTGGCTGTTCTTTCGGAAAATACATTTGGAACCTGGGAATGATGAAATTAATAAATACAGAGATGTTTGTTGTGTGTGGTGGTGAATAAATGCGTGTTTGGAATTTAATGAATTATTCAAGTGACTTTGATTCACTTTTCTCAAGGTTTCAAGTGGATTTTTGAGAGCCCAAGATAAAACAGTTGAAATGAGATCACCATGTCTTAACAAAAAGTACTCCGTATTTGATTGAATGTAAATAAATATGATTCAAAATGTCCGTTCTTAATATTTATGTCCAGTCTTCTAGAGGTACAATTTGATGGGTAATTGTTCAATTTTTATTAGATCGTTATGTCATAACACTATGAAACTATTTGTTTTAATAATGACATCCATGCACCACTTGTGTGAGTGTGTCGACATTCCCTTTGAGTTTTCAAACGTAGCCTATTGGTAATAAAAGATCCTATGTAGTGCGCTACCTAAAAAGACCAGTTTCAAAAGCCGATAAATGATATGATAGGGCATCAATTAATTCATTCTAGATGCTAGTCCAAAAGATCCTAGTAAGTGTTTCTCAAATTGCTGGATTTTAACGAAATTTATGAAATTTTTGTTGAAGTGGTTGTTTTGGATTAGCATCTAGAATGAATTAATTGTAGTGAAATGGAAGTATTATGATTAGCATCCAGAAAATGTAATCGTTAAGATTTGCCTGACCGACAAAAAATGCAATCATGATAAATGGTAGAACTAGTACTAATATGTTTATAATTACGAAGAAGGCATAAAACATTTTCGTCACAGTGACCTAATCTACAATACCAGAGGGGACCAGATGTAGTGACAAAGGATAAAGCTAGAGTAGATGACTGAGGCAAGCTGAGAAGATAGAGGTGACCATCACTAGTTGCTCGAAGATGGACTGCCCCGAAACTTTGTCCTTTACAAAAAAAAGATTTTTTTATAAAAAAACACAGCAACACGGTTGTTGTCTGCACATAATTTTTGAATAAAGAGTAAATTAAATTTTAGTTGAGGGACATGATAAACATATTTTAGCATAAGGGGACGACTGAAAGAATTTAGATTAATATCTCCAATATTAACAATAGGAAGATGAGTACCATTAGCAACACTAATAGATATGAGGTCAATGTGAGGAGAATTATTAATTAAATTACATTCATTTGGAGTCATGTGAGCAGAAGCCTCAGAGTCAGGGAAGATTATTAGCATCGCCACTACGAACCAACAAAGTTGGCGCGACTGGCTGAGAAAAACGAGACTGGCAATGCATAGTAGAGGGGCATACAGAGAACAAACTGTTCGGTGTGTTTCGGAAAATAAAGGAAATTAATTAAAATAAATTAATTAAATAAATGAGTAACGAAAAACAAGAAATGAGATAAAGCATAGTATAGTCAAAGCTCGTGCAATAAGTCACAAGAACGTTGGGCATTTAATGTGGGGGGTGCACGCAAGTCGGACTTTTTATTCTCCGGTTTCGGGATTTGATTCGCACCCCCCACCCCCGCACGCGTGGAGAGAGCCTTTACCTTAAAGAATCTTAACTCCTTAAGGGGGGTTTCCCTTTATAAAGAGTTCAAATTCCCTTGGGTTTTCCGGTGTGGGAAAAACCACACTAGAAACTCATCATTTTCCTAGTTTTCTCCATTCCAACGAGTGAACTTCGAGAATCAATTTCTCATTCACCCGTTATCTGTTTTGAGTGTACCATATATCGAATTGTAGCCCTAAGCAAGGACAATCCGAAACCACTTTGACCTGACCCAAATCGGAAGTGGACCCCACTCAAAAGCTAAATGGCCATTTAATGCAATTTTACACACATTTTTCAACACAAACATGAGGATCCCAATGTTCATTTGTACACCATTACGCACAAAAAAAACACCATAAGTTATTGGCATGTCCTCATATTCCCATCACAGTTCCTAGGAGAATTTCCATCAATATTCAAACACTATTAGGTTCCCAATAAGAAGCTGACTCTCACATGATCGCTTTGAGTGAGAGGAAACAATGATTTTTTAAATTAGAAGCAACAATGACTAATTGCTCCTACATTTGCTCCTAATAACGACTGATTGCACATTATATTTAGTTGACTCCCATTATTGCTCCTTCTTTTTAAAAAGTATGCATTTCTGTTTTGTTTAAGTCTAATCTGATGTGGAATTGGAATCAGTCCAAGTAAAAA